TAATAGATTTTATATATATTTGTTTGGATCAAAATTAATTCCCTCTATTCGTTATATTTTGTAGCCTAATCAGGAAAGTGATGTCTCGGTTTGAAGACTGCAAGGATAAGGGATACGAGTTTCAAGTTTCATCGAAATATTTGGGGTTTTTTTGGGTTTTTTTTTCAATTCATGTATCTTGATTAATGGTCCTAGAATAACGGCCTTAATGTTGTAAGGAATTGCAAAAGATAATAATCGAACATTATCTGGGCAAAAATTAGTAACGGTAGTTTTTAATCGAAGAAATTGGAATAGTTTTAGACTATTAGATTATAATCATGGCTACCTTTTACTTCCATGAATTCATGTCACTGACATCATCAGTAGCAGTATTTATTTTGGATTTTATACCTTTTATCAGTTACAGACAACAGCGGCTGGAACTTGACGACACAAGACCGATTCCCGCCTTCTTTTAGTCCTCCCCCATATGAAACATACAGAAAACGTACCAATATTTCTCCCCATCTATCTATCTATCTATCTATCTATCTATCTATCTATCTATCTATCTCATTCTGTTCATATTTGTCTCCTTCTGTTCATATCTATCTATCTATCTATCTATCTATCTATCTATCTATCTATCTATCTATCTATCTCAGTGTTTCTATCTATTTATCTAGTTATGTATTTCAGTCAGACCAAGTTCCTTTCTTCTATCTATCTATCTATCTATCTATCTATCTATCTATCTATCTATCTATCTATCTCAGTGTTTCTATCTATTTATCTAGTTATGTATTTCAGTCAGACCAAGTTCCTTTCTTCTATCTATCTATCTATCTATCTATCTATCTATCTATCTATCTATCTAGTCTTTCTATCTATTTATCTATCTCATGTATTTCTATCTATTTAAGTTCCTTTCTTCTATCTATTCCTATCTATCTATCTATCTATCTATCTATCTATCTATCTATCTATCTATCTATCTCAGTGTTTCTATCTATTTATCTAGTTATGTATTTCAGTCAGACCAAGTTCCTTTCTTCTATCTATCTATCTGTCTATCTATCTATCTATCTATCTATCTATCTATCTATGTTAGTGTGTCTGTATCTTCTTTAATCTACTATTTTCTTTTCATGCACCTCTAATTAAACTGTTTTCATCGATTTAAATAATACGCCTTTGTGCATGTACCTCTTTAATGTAAGCCGTCTGCATACCAAAACGTCTTCGAAATTCTCTCACAATCATCTTCCTTTTTCTCTCCACAATCCAATTTTACAAATTTGTGTGACTGCATCTTTCCTTCCTTTCTCGATCGTGTTCCCAGTGTTTTCTTGCTCATTTCTGTCTTTCTACATCCGTCTCTTCTCACTTCCTCCTTGTCTCCATTTTCTTCCTTGTATGACAGAAAATACAAACTTTCACACTACATCAACCCTACCATCGCTGGCTTGTTACTCCTTCTTTAACGATGTTTCTCTTTTCCATATCTATTTCTCTTACACTGTTTACCTTACATACAGCGTCGAGGCTCAGATATACAAGAGACATGAAAGCCAGTCAGTCAATCCAAATATAGTAAGGCTTTCTCCAGATTGGTGGGGGGCGGTAAGAGAAACTTTTGGAAGTGCGAGTGAGAGGTTGCGAGTATTTTACCGGCATGACAAATGCGGTAGGAATACCAAATTCAGACTCTTCTTGTATATACTTCAAAGCAATAGGCGTAACCGTTAGAACATCTGTGTGTTTATGTAGGATTGTGTCTGCTTGTGCACATGTTTATATTAACTGTTAAATGATATATGACATACTATGTCGACAGATGCTGTTTATATGTTGGGCTCAAAATGTGAACACCAATCGGTTCATCCAGAGTTTGCTGCAAAAAAATAGAAACATCTCTTCCTCCAAACGCTTCTTCACATGACCCTGGGGCTAGTTATTGAGCTGAGACTTAACGATCGTTAGCACTATCCCAGGGCGACTTAGTAATGCCTCTCGATACCAACTGGTAGAGGTTGGAAATGCCTGAGATGTGCATATGAAGCATTCACTCGGTTTGGGAAAGAGATTATATTTTCTCTTGAGTTAAAGACTCCACATATCACATCGATAGTAAACATTTTTCTTGTTTTGTTGCTTCTCCCATCTTCACGTCGTCATTTATTTCCCTTCATTTACAAACTTTAAGGCGTGTTTGATCTAAAACTCCTATCTCGCCACACCTCTGAATATATATATAGAGAGAGGGAAAATAGAAAATATTATTAGATATTATATAAATATATATGTAAAGAAAAACTAATATGGAGTCGAGGAGTGAATGACAAAATAGAAAAAACTTTAGTGACATGTTCCATTCATCAAAAACTTATTGATATTAATAGTAGATTCATTGATGGCTTCAAACTTTTATATAAAAGGAAGTCTGAAGATCTTTCTACACGGAACAAAACTCGTCATGTAGAATCTTTTAAATCTGTCTTTCACCTATCCATTATTATTCTGATATATATATATATATATATATATATATATATATATATATATATATATATATATATTATATCATATAACGCCATCAGTTTAAAATCGCCTGAGGAGAGACATTTATTGTGTCAGAAACAATTGCCTTTCTGTAGCAATTTTTAATACGTTTTAATATCCTAAAATAAATAATACATAATACATATATATATATATATATATATATATATATATATATATATATATATATATATAAATGTGTATATATATATATATATATGTGTGTGTGTGTGTGTTCATATATATATATATATATATATATATATATATATATATATATATATATATCATATCTCACCATCAGTTTAACATCGCTCGAGGAGACGCATTTATTGTGTCGAAACATAATTCCCTTTATGTAGCGATTTTTATCACGTTTTAATATCCTAAAATAAATAATATTTGTGTGTGTGTAATCATTTTCCAAGTTATTCAAGATGATCTTTACCCTCTCTAACCTTCTAACTTTCTTTCATGGAGTAACAAGTTGCTTCATATGTTTCAGGTGCGATTTCGTTTTCAATCTTTTCTCATTGCTCTTTGGAATATCTATATATATAAGAACAACACAAAAATATTCACTGAATTCTTCTCAGCTGCATGTAGTGCATGTGTTTTTTTCATTTTATAATTATGAAGAAAGATTTGTTGAATTTTGTCTACACTTGCAGCGCTAACCCTAAATATAATACTAAGCCTGACCATAAAACTAAATTCTATATACAGTTTTCAATGGTCAAGTTTGCTTTCATTTGTTCTTTAATACGGTAGTAGCAGTAAAAGTCGCCGCGTATGTCAGCGTTATTTTTTAACTCCCTTTGGTATTTTTTACTACATCATAAAATTAGTTTATGAACCAGTAACAAACTTTTACCAAACACTTTCGGTATGCTTATTAAAAATCACTATACAGCTGGGCGGTGGAAAATATTTCCATGTGAAAGTGGGCGATGATGTAAGAAAGACTTTGGGAACGCCCTGGCCTAGATAGTACTAGGCAAATATCACCTCTGATATGCCCGATCTTCTGCTCTACGCTTCAAGTTATCAGTAGAAATATATGTGTTTGTTTATATTCGTCCATGTATGACTTTGAGGAAAAAGTGATTGATACGGGAAATTAGTTTTTTATGGTAAGAAGTTTAATGATCTGATCTGCAAAGAAGAAACATTTCGTATTTTTATCGACAGAATTTTATTCTTCTTCACTTTTGATTTTATTTTTACTTTATCCTTTCTTTCACCAATTCTTTTTAGGATTCTTCGTTTTAATCACCTTTATTGCTTTTCTTCTTACTCTTCTTCCTTGAAAAAATATTAGCATCAATACATTTTTGAAAAAATATTGGCAGCAATACCTTTTTGAAAAAAAATATTACCAGCAATACCTTTTTGAAAAAAAATATTAGCATCAATACATTTTTGAAAAAAATATTAGCAGCAATACATTTTTGAAAAAAATGTTAGAATCAATTCATTTTTTTAAAAAAATATTAGCATCAATTCATTTTTTAAAATATTAGCATCAATTCATTTCTAAAAAAGATATTAGCAGCAATACATTTTTTAAAAATTATGACCAGCAGGAAAAATTTTGTCGGCATTAAATAACCCATTGAGGTTGATATACCGTAAACAAACCAAACCAAAACTTTATTATAACAGAAATATGTGAAGAAATATTCTTTACAATATTATCTTTGGCTTGACTTTTACTTTGTGCATCACATATCAAATATTTATTCTAATTTCGTCTTCATTATCAGCATTATTCTTATTTTTAGCTGCTATTTTTGTTTCATATTTATTTCTCTACAATATTTCTTCTTCTCTTTTTACACTTTTTTCACTGTTTTTTTTTTCACATTCTCTTTTTTCCCATCTTTTCCGATCCTTTCTTTTCTTTTCTCATCTTTTCTTAACCTCTCTTTTTTACTTCCTTTTCACCATTCACTCTTTTCCTTTCTCCTCTTTTTTTCCATTCTTTACTCATCCACTCTTTATTTCTCACCCTCTCTCTCTCTTTTCTCTTCCTTTCTCTTTTCTTGTCTTTTCTCGTCCTCTCTTTTCTCTCTCCCACTCACTCTCTTTTCTCATCCTCTCTTTTTTTTTCTAACCTTTTCTCGCCTCTTCTACTTCCTCTATTTTCTGTTTTCTCACTTTCTGTCTTTTCCCGTATTTTCTCATCCTCTTTTTTGATCTATTCTCCTCCTCTCTTTTCTATTTTTCACCCTCTCTCTTTTCTTATACTGTCCCTCATTCTCTCCTCTTTTCTTATCCTCTCGTTTCTCATCCTTTCTGTTTTCTCATCCCCCCCTCTGTCACTCTTCTGATCTTTTTTCATCCTTTCGTTTCTTTTTTACCCTTTTTAAAGATCTTTTTCACTCTCGCTCTCTCTTCTCATCTTTTCTTATAATCTCTAATTTCTTTTCTCTCATTCTCCTTCTTTTTCTCTCATGTTTTCTCATCCTCTCTTTCTCTTCTTATCTTTTCTTCTTTTTTTCTCTCATCATCTTTACTTATCTTCTTTATTTTATCTCTCTTTTTTCATCTTCTCTTTTCTGCTTTCTCATTTTTTTTCGAATGTTGTCTCTCTTTTTCTCTTCTTATTCTTCTTTACTCTTTCTGTTCTTTCGTCTTTAATCTCCTTCTCCTCCTTTCCCTTTGGATCCATACTCAAGTCAGTATTTTTTTAACATTCTCCTGTTCTTCAAACCAATCCCATGTTTACGTATCTTTCATCGGACTCCCCAAACTCTTCCTGACAATTTCTTTCATCAATTAACCAATTATCAATTTCTGCTTTCCTTAAAATGTTGAGATTTGATATGGACTGTCGTGACCGCAATCTGAGGATGTCTTTAAAAACAGAATCACCGTGCTTATTATCAGAATTTCGAGAAACAAAAAAAAATGCCCAGACATCAAATTGAGACAAACACCATTGTCCTGTAAGAGATAATTAAAGTATTTTAACAGTTAGCTGAACAAACAAGTGAAGATCTTGTCGTTCAACTAGTCGGGGTTGGCCAAAAATATAAAGGACAGAAAACAAACAGATTTAAGTTGATGGAGCTTAATTGACTTTCCTGTTTTGTATTTACTCATACACTTTCCCCCACTCATGTTTATTTTCTCTCTTAATATGTCCTCGTCCATTTTTCCTCTCTCTATCCTATCTACTATCACTCTCCACCTTTTTCATAAGCTTCACTTTTCATCTTCATTCTACGCCCTCCGTTCCATATCTCTTGTTTTTAAATATTAAGACTTTCTTTACATCTTCATCTTCATTGCAATATTCACAACGTTTCGGACGTTGTACGCTTCCGGCCTTCTTCAGTTGATTGGAATTTCAAATCGCACCCTTTATTTCGTCCACCGGGGTATATTATTTTAGTTCCTCGTGCCATGCCTCTTCCGGATGTCTTAGTTATTTCCCTTTAACTCAACTCCCTAAGTTTTTTAGTCACCACTGCACTCACAACGCTTTAGGTATAGTCACGGGATCTAACCAACGCCTTTATTCACTAGAGGACATCTGTGCATGAATTTCTGGGATTTATAAACCTAATGTCTCAGAAACCGTTTTTTACTAGTGCCCATATTGCAATTTTTCCGTTATTATTATTGCATATTTTTACCAGAGCTTATATTGCAATTTTGTGTTGTTATTCATTGATTTTCTCTAACACTCCTTATTATTGGTTCCCATATTGGATTCATTTCTAGGCTTGGTCGGCCTCATCCCAAAGGGGGCGATGATCTCCCTTTTCTGAAACGTTGTGATTATGGCAATGAAGATGAGGATAACAGTAAGAATAATGCAAATAATCATAATACGTCATATCAGAGACATAGACAGTTATTAGGACTTTAATTATATATTCTTGCTCTATTTAATATCTCCCATTCTTCTATGTATCGTGTCTCTTCAAGACGTTTGCGATCATGGCTCTCCACAACTTCTCACTACGTCCTTTTTAATCCTAAATAAAGTTCATTTTTTTGCTATAACCGCTAATCTCTGTTATACCAAACGTTTAGATCGTTAAGTAGGTTTACTCTGGAAATATTGCCTTCAATATGTCCTGTGAGTGTTAGATTTTCCAAGCTTTCTTTCCTCATTATTTACCCTAGAACTGTCAACTGTCCCTTTCTGATGCTACGTATAAGTGTCGTTTTTGTTTTCATTTTAACTGAAACTTGGCTTTTGCTTACGTATTTTCCATGTTTCAATAAATTCCTCTTTATACACCATCTACCACCCCCTCTTCCACCCCCTCTCCCTCTCACTCTTCCAACTCTTTTTTCACCCCCTCTTTATAAACCCTCTTCCATCTCCTCTTCCACCCTCTTTATATTCCCACTTCAACGCTCTCTTCCACACCGCCTTTATACCCCCTCTCTCCATCTCCTCTTCCACCCCTCTTCCATCTCCTCTTTATATCCCACTTCCACCCACCTCTGCCACCCTCTCTTCCACCTCCTCTTTATAACCCCTCTTCATTTTATACGCATTCTTCCACACCCCTCTTTCACCTCATCCACTCCCTCTTCCAACTTCTCTTTCACCCTTGCATCCACCCCTCAATGTACCCCATCTTCTTCCACTCCTCTTCCACACCTTCTTCCATCCCCGCTTCTGTTTTCTTTCCGTTTTCTTTCTATGCCCCCCCCCACCGACTTTCTCTTCCTGCTAACTCTTTTTCCGTTTCTCTCTGATTTGTTTTCCATTTTCTCTCTAACATTCTTCACCATAATTTTCTTTTAACATCTCCTCTGTATGTTTTTCTCTTTTTTTTCTTTAATTATCTTTCTTTAATTAGTTCCATTGCCTATCTCAATGTTTAAGCCTTTATTGCTTTCTTCTCTTTTTCCTCCATTTTAATATTCTTAGACGTTTATGTTTCCAGATTCTCTCCCATTTTCTCTTTCTCATTTCTATTCTTCTACTGTCCCCTTAAAATATATATATATATATATATATATATATATATATATATATATATATATATATATATATATATATATATATATATATCCATCATCGGCATTATCTGCTTTTAACAAGCGATTATTTCTCTTGTTATTTCAGCAAACCTCAACATTTTTTTCCTTTAGTAGTTTTTTAATATTTTTAAATTTTCTTCTTCGGCATTGTTTTGCCATTTTTTTTATTTCGCCATTTTTACTTCTGCTGCTTATCTATTTTTGGTCTTGTTTTATTTAACTTTGTCTCTTTCCTCTAATATTCTTCATGCTCTCTCCCTCTCTTTCTGTCTCTCTACTCACACACACACACACACACACACACACACACACACACACACACACACACACATATATATATATGTATGTATGTATGTATGTATGTTTGTGTATGTGAGTGTGTGCGTGTTTATTTTTTACCCTTCTCCTATTAACAATGAAAACAAGTATTTTCTAATGTTCCAAACAGAATCATACGTTTCCATTTTCCTTTCACCCTGTTTCGAAAAAAACCCTCTAAAAACAAGCAAGAAAATTGCGCAGAAATCTTTCATTTCCTATACCCGATTGTCTCCCCTTTTTCTCCCTCTCCTTTAGGCATTTTTGACCCCCCCTCACAGTTAAACAACCAACACCTACCAAAGATATCTTGTTCCAATTTTTTCTCCTATTTCTCAGTATTTTTTTTACTTTCCACTGTCAGCGAATAACTCCAGTCTTCTCTCTTGCCGAGAAAGGGGAGCTAAGTATGTATTTTCTTTCAAATTCGTAAATTTGATTAAATGTACTTCTTGATATTTAAGATTTTTAGATTAACATTATATATATATATATATATATATATATATATATATATATATATATATATATATATATATATTAATTATTAATTATTTTACCGTCTCATCTTTCCTTCTTATAACACACATCATTAATCACAACGACTTTAATAGTATCCCTCTATTTTGAGTGACTCTCGAACCTTGTATTTGGTGAAATTTTCTTTAGTATATTTTAAATATAATTGAAAATTAAGGAAATCTTTCGACCAGTGGTGAATCAAATTCATATTATACGATTTCTGTTTTTTTTTTTTATATATAGTAAAAAGAGAACATCGTAGTTAGATTTTATCTAGCGCACACCATTAAAATACTCGAACTTAAAGAATAAAGCAATTTCCACCAATTTACGACTTAGTCATAGTAATGTCTGTTTTCCATGTGCACCACACCAATAATAACAACCTAATTTTGTGTTTTTTGTTACAAATGTTGGAAAGATGTCCAACTTGAAAAAGAAAAATGATTACTGACTGCTAACATAAAATAAAGATACTCATCAGACGTTGAAATAATAATCCTCTTATTTTTCTTTGATAGTTTATTAATAATTTTAGATGAAAGTTTCCGTTTGAAAAATAAACGTAAATCACAAATATTAATATTTCATGTTAAATATCTTTTCATTATTTGAACTTTCTTTGCCATCATAGAAAAATTGCTTTTCTAAATTGTAAGAATATCATTTTTTTTAAGATTAGTTTATATTAGACACCTGCAATAATTTCCATAAAACTAACTTTAAATTTTAGCGTAGCAAGAGTTTGGCTAATTACAGAGTTGCTTTTCTTTCCCTACTTAATTGCAAATAATTATTTAATTACAAAGATACTTCTATAAATAGAAAGTAATGATATAAATTTATCAACCACCTTCAGTTATCCGTAAGCGAGCAATTAAAATCTTATTAAAATTTTATTCAGTTCACTGATGTGCCATACGTGATACACGCTTAGGCGATCAGGTATCTTTCTATACATGACTGACGAGGCAGATTATTTTTCGCGCGGTAGGTTGCCATTTCTTTCTGCGGTAGACAAGTTTCCATCCAATGCTACAGAACGCGGTCTGTCCAGCTATTTACCCATAGCTTGGGGGAGAAGAAGAGGATTCATGCCTTTCCCAAGGGTATTAGTACGTAAGTGAATATAATGGATTCGACTAGAATTCGAACTCGGCTCTCCGATTCTTCTATATTTGTGTAAAACTCAATTTCTGCATTATATTCTTGTTATTAACATTACGTCATCTTTCACTTGTTTTGTGTAATGAAAAAAACATTTCTATCTATGATTGTATAATACTTTTAAAATGGTTATAATGGATGTAGACTATGATATGAATGAAAGAGGGTGTGGTAGCAAGTGAGGGTCATGAGGATAAGAACGAACGATAACGACCTATCCTTGACCCAAAGAAATAAAGATTGTAGTGTTTACGAAAGCACTCACGCGGGAGTCTGTTCCACATAGTAGCTGTTCTTTGAAAAATGCTGCCTCAGTAGAACTTTCTCATTACAAAATAGAAAGAACGGAGGTGATTCGAATCTGTGAAAGTATCTTCGCTTGTCCTAGATGTAAATGTCTGAACTTGTGGAATTAAAGAATGCAATTTATCTGGACATTTGTCATGGAAATAGGGATAGAGTAGTAATAGGCTTGTAACTTTTTGTCTGTGAGGAAAGAGGCTGCAGAATGGAAAATAACTCAGTCTCTACAAAACCGCGGAAATTATTTTGATGTTTGGGAAGTGAGGATAGAGCAGCTTCGGATAAACATCGTCATGGTTCTTGTCTTTTTAGGCCGTCTTTTCAGTTGAAGGCGATCGATGACACACATGGGGGATAGGTTCTCGCGTAGCTGTTGTGACCAACATAGAAACGGCACACCTTTCTGCAAGTCAATCAGATATGTACAATGCGTGATACATGCTTAGGCTAACATGTATCTTTCGATACATGACTGACAAGGCCGATTTTTTTCCCGCAGTAAGTTTCCATTTCTTTCTGCGGTAGACCAATTACCATCCAAGGCTATAGAACCCGGTCTGTTCTGCTATTTACCCATAGCTGAGGGGAGAAGAAGAGAATTCATACCTTTCCCAAGGATATTAGCACGTAAGGGAATTTCTGTTAGTTTTGTGCCATGCGTGATACATGCTTAGGCGATCATGTGTCTTTCGATACATGACTGACGAGGCAGATTTTTTCCCGCAGTAGGTTGCCATTTCTTTCTAGGGTAGACCAATTGCCATCCAAGCTACAGAACCAGGTTCGTTCTTCTACTTACCCATAGGTGGGAGGGGGAGAAGAGTATACATACTTTTCCAAAGGCTATTAGCACATAAGTGAATGTAATGGATTCGACTGGAAAGTCAGTCAGTTATGTGCCGTGCGTGATACACGCGTACGCAATCTTTCGATACATGACTGAGGAGGCCGATTTTGTTTTTACCGCAGTAGATTGCCATTTCTTTCTGCGGTAGACCAGTTGCCATCCAGAACCCGGTCTGTCCTGCTACTTACCCATAGCCGGGGGGGGGGGGAAGTGGAGGATTGATACCTTTCCCAAGTGTATTAGTAGTATTCTGAAAAGATTTTGAATGACATTAGTGGAAGTATCCATCATGTGACGTCTTCGACAGCTTTTCTCTGTTTACTGGCCAAATTTCCGTCTTTAATGGCATCTATGCGCCACCTCATCAACTGGAACCACCTCCGATTAACTTTACTAATCGACATGGAGACATATTACATGAATGCATTGATATGGTCTCAATGTCGCTTTTACTAACACACCGACTGCCCTTTCATCTAACTTTAATTCACCGAAGAAGGAAAGTGGAAGTTAAGAATCGTTAACAGCCTACGGCATAGGACAAATAATGACCCGAGGCTGCAGAGAACGTGCTACCTCATCGATAATACCTCAACGGTTCGCTATTACCTTCACTCGAGCTTTCTGTATCTTCTCGTCTGTGATGGCAGTTGACGGTCTTCCTGCTTCTTCTTCGTGATTCATGCTTGTCCGACCACATTTAAACTTCTCGATCCACTCATACACCTACGCGGAAGGGCACAGTCTCCGATGAATTTTCTTCCCTGACACACCTTCCGACCAGAGAAATCGGCTCTATGTTCCTTCTTGGTACACACTGCTAGCAGAGCGGCCATGTTTACACTGTAACAGCAGCGAAAACCTGCGCGATCAACATTAAAACTTCGAACACATATGGACAGAAGGCAGCGTGTCAAACCTCAAATGCGGATAATTTTTAACTTACCCTCGTACAAGAAGTATTCTGATGCATTAAAAAAAAAATCAACATGATTAAAAATTATTTTATATCGTTTGTGATGTAATGAATATGCATACACCTGGGTTCCCCCTAACAGTAATATGATTGGCTGGTGTCAGCCATAAATACAGACTGATGTGGAGGTACAGGGACGACGCCTATTGACGACGTCTATTGTCTACGCCTATTGTCTACGCCTATTGCCTACCGCTACGACGAGGACCAGTCCATTACGGTTACCTGCTAAATTGTTCTACTTGGTTACAGTAGTTCAAAACCACTTTGCTACTTCGAACAAATATATCCATTTCCGGGATATATCAATTTGCATTAACAATAAAATTGTCACAAAAACAAAATCATCCCAAGAGTATTTGAGTCCTAATTGGATGGATGGTGTGAGGCTTAATGCTAAATTAATTTTTGCGTTTCAGAAAACAAGTTAATCAACGGAAGGATGAAATAGCAGTTATTTCATTTTCTTTACTTGACGTAGTGAATGATTTTAAATACACACGGGTTGATAAAGTACTTTATGACACGTTATGAAATGCTCTCTTTCTCACATTTTTTGTCAATTTTATATCTCTCACTCTGTCTCTATTTCACCTTCACTCTTGTACTTTCTGTCTCACTCTCTCAC